GCGTCCTCTTTTGGGACGCAAAGGGTCCTGCGTCGTCTAAGCAGCTACGGCTGGAGATAAGGGTAGCCGCATCCATGCTCAATGTATAGACTCGGGTCTGCACATGGTGAGTCGAGATTCGGAATGCGTCTGCTTCCAATAAGAAGAGACGCGTCCCGAATAACTTTAAGCTTTGAATATGTTCCAAACTTTGTAAGATTTATGGAAATAGACGCATTCATCTGAGTATATTCAAAATAACAGCTCAGATTTGAACACTCAATTTTGCAAACATGTCCTGTAGCTCGATCTGATGTTTTAGGACCTCATCTATCCCACTTGTCGATTACCCGATATTTTAGATATCTCATGCTTCTGCTCTAATAATGGTAAGCAGTCAGTGTTATGAGACTACAGCAGTCAGAGCGTCTCTAATGTGAACTGCTGAACTCGCGCAAAATGTATCGTCTCGAGAAAATTCCACTGGTATGGCTGAACTCGAACCCGATCAGTGCCGATCCAACACCAGGTATGGTGTCCAGAATATGAATGATCGAGATATGGTCTTTAGAGAGACACCAGCAATGTCTGTACATGCAGTGTCAAAACAGTTCTCCATGGCTGCAGTGAACTCGTTCTGTGCTGGGCGAATATACTCTAAGCAGCCAGTAATAAGACTTCTGTGCTCACCTGAAACTGAAACCGAAACTCCGGCTGATGGTCTGGAACGCCGTCGAGAACAGTGTCTGCATGCATGGGCACGGTCGATGTTCGTGGGTCAGTAATGAGTAAATTAGTATATTCGAGCTGGATGAGGGCCTCTGAGACTCTGAGGTCCAGACTGCTCCTGCTTCCCCTCGACCCAGGACCTCCTGTAGGACTTTTCTGGCTGTGCTTGTCTCTCTTCAGCCAGGACCTTCTCCACAGCTTGGACTCAAAGTCGTGATACTTTTCCACGGATTGCAATCAAGCTTACCAAATTCAACTTCTTCTTCACACACCCTGACCATTACCCAAGCGGGCGAAGTGCTGAGAGAATTTGAGGTGTAAAGTTTTTGACCTGCGAAGCTCCACTTTAATGTCGTCAGCCTTGTGGAGATGACTGGTCCGTCTCAGTCATCCTCGACTCGCCCCCACAGGCGGAGAATATACATATGGTTTGCCGAAACTGGACTTCCTTGTTTGGCCTGAGAATGTCTATCCATCATTAGACAAAAGAGCACCAAACAAAGAGGAATGGATATAAAAAACTGATAACGCAGATCCTCTCCCTGACAGTCTGACACGTCCAACGACGGCAGACGTACAGCTGACTCGGTCTGATTCTTTCCATATGTGTTTCACGTGTTATACGATCTATGTGAAGATATACTGTACTGTCTTTAACCCCTCACCCCATTGTTTCTTTCCTTCTTCGTGACGGGGTTTTCCAAATATTTTATTTCCTCCAGTTTTTCTTTTGGAATTTTGTCGAGCGAGTTTGTTTTGTCCTTCTGTGACGCATATGTCACTCGGGCTAAGAGATGCAATGTTTATGGTTCTGGAGGCTCATATGCATGTAACTTTGCCTCTGCATGGACAGCTTGCAGCGGCGATTGGTGAATTGCAGATGCAAGAGTATCTGGGCCGAGGTTTTTTAAGCCCAAATATCTGACGAGAGCCATGTAACGGTGATCCCAAAGGCCCGAACTTTCTCTACTCCTGGCAATGACGTGTATGGCTCTCGCCAGATGTGGGCTGTGAATGCCTCTGGTCCCGGAGCCAGCTGCATTTGTAGCAAGCCACAGTCATCGGCTGACACCAAGTACTTTTTGATATTTGTGCAGTCGATCTAATTTCACATCTTTCCATTTTCGACAACTTATTGTTGTATGTGTGCTTGGCACGGAAGTTAGCTCGGAGGCTGTAGGCTCATGCTTGTAAATCCAGGTGATATGCTTGTGAACTCCATTTATAGTTAGCTGCTGAAGGTACTCCTTTCGCTGGAAAGAGATATTTTTGAGCCATTTCTCGAACATTTGTTAGATTCCATGGAACAGACATAATTATGATATGCTCGGACACAGATCCCATCCGTTCCTATATTCAGTATATTCTCCACACCATAATAATAGTATGCAAGAGCAGAACTCCTTCAGGAGAAGAACTGTTTTCCTCTTTCTTGAGAAAGTGGGTCACTGAATTAGGTTGTTGGAGTGCATCCACCAACAACGACATTATTACTTACATATTTTCTTTTCTTCTTCATGTTCTTTCTTCTTGTGAGCTTAGGATCGATGGTGCAATTCTCCTGTCGCCAAATATTCAAGTTCCGTGTACAAACTGTGTCCGTGACGTTGAAAACGGTTGTTTCAGTTCTGCAACAACCTTTTTAAATTGTTCGGTATTTCTTATTTCGGACACCTTACGGGACTTGTGAATATTAATATCTTTCATGATATTATGAAATGTTCTGTATTTCCCGGGGAATTCTGAAAATAAATATCAATTTTTAAACTTAAAATTGGTAGTTTTCTTTTTATGAATCCAAGTTTATATTTCACACGTGTTTATACAATTAGCCATTACTGTAAAGATTAGATAAAATTTATTTAATTCGATTTCAATTTACAGAAGAAATTCAATCCTCGATCATTTCTGACAATTTACTAATTACAGTACTATATGAAAGTATACGAATTTCACCTAGATATTTTATATTAAGAGGTGAAAAAGTATGTGATAAACAAATATCTATAACTCACATGAAAACTTACCTGCAGATTGCAGTAGAAATCTGATGACCATTTAGAGTTCATAGCCCTATGACTAAGTTATCTAGGTCCCACAAGCTTTGAGCACGAACAGATGGACTCGATTAATGTCACTCTAGCTCAGCGAATGTACTGTAATATACTGTGAGTGATATGTAAAACCGGCACAATAGATAGACCTCGACTCCAACTCGCCTACTCGAACCGAAATCTCGCCCTGCTCGTCACTTGGGCGGACAAATTGATGGAAATATTCTTCTCTGGGCTCTGCCAATGTTCTGGACGAAACTTACAAGTTAGTAAGTAAACGTGACGACAAAGGCTCATCTGTGGATCCGAATCGGTGCTACTTGTCATCGCCTCTCGGGTCGTAGTCCAGGACTCATCGCGAGGACCCACCACGTTCGCCCAGGGACGACTCTAGAGCAGACAGGCTGCAGGAGCATATCCGGAGCGTGGTCCCGCTCCATGATCTTGGGGTCGAGATACGCATGCTGGAGCTCTCGGTGAGGGAGAGCCTCAGGCTTCGGTAGTAGATCATACGATCAGGCTTCAGTCGTAGAGCATACGGTTTGAGGGCTCCGGAAGTTGAGAAGGCATACTTGATTTGATTGTGGGTCTGACTGAGCTCGAGCTCGATCGAAGAGTCAGCATCCTTTTGCTTAATATGTTACCAGAGTTCTGACAGTGGGAGCGAGATGGACGGTTTCAGGAGCCGTGTTAACTATTCTCCAGCTTTTCTATGGATACCAGAGATTTGAGGAAGCCTTAAGGAGTCTCCTCTTGAACTGTGAGCGTTGACGGTGGACACTTAGCAGTCTTGTACTGCACTTACTTCTAGACTCCTGAATCTGTAGACTCTGTTTTCCACGATTCTCTTTACCACGGAGTGAGCAAGCCTTCGGGATTATGCACATCACACAGCTTGAAGTCCCAAGCACCTCTTCTGCGCGATGGTTCGAGAAAGCAGCGGTAGAGATCAACCCTATCGTCGAATGGAACATTCATGACACGGTTGATTCTGCCCATCAAGGAGTCCTTCAATGTTCGGTAGGCACGGGGGCGGCAATCGGTGAAGTCCACTTGGGCAGTTCTTGATGGACTTTTCAAATGGATACCGACAGAAGTCAGAAGTGCCATTCACACACGATGAGAAAGGATGCAGGACATTCACTCAATTCGATGCCCCGCTTTAATCCATGCACGGCAGTGCAGGGCTTGGAATGAGGGTGAGAGATAATTGTCTGCAGGTTACACTGTAATACATATCAATGTGAAGATGAACAGGCTGAGTTGAACAAGAGAGTTGGAAAACAGAGACTGAGCTTTCTCGAACTCCATCAACTCTTCCAAATAAAATTGTCTACGTAAAACTGTGCTCAGAAATTATTATCCTCACGGTTTTAACCATTGGATTCACCAGATCGTGCTCTTTCGGTGGTCTTAAGCATAATCTCTGAACTTCATTCCAAACAAGTCGATTAATTTCAGAATGGGACTGCTTCGGAATGTATGATGCTTCCTAGAACACGTTTATAATTACGTCATGATTAAGGTGAAGATCTACCAGCTCGAGGTTGATCTCTCCAATTAATATCTTCTTCAATTGGCCATACTGAGCTTTCTAGTAAGTGATTCTCCTGCTTTCCAAAACTGCTTTTGACCAGATGTCAATTGAGGGACCTGACGTGCTTGATGTGATCCAAGTCTACGAAATCATTCCCTTGACCTATCACGGGCTTTGCGCTGGCGATGTTTCATTCAAATTTCTGCCCAATCAACTTCCGATGGTCAGATATATCCTCTCGCAAGATCCGACAAATCCAATTTCACCTGGACTTGATGAATACGGTAACCAAGATTCCAGTTCCATTGATTGCCCAGTTGCATGGCAGTGCTCATGTACTGTGGTCAAGTCTCGGAGCAACCCGTGATCCGTGGCGTGAATTTGACCTTCAGAGGAGGCACTGACTTCCAGGTGTCATGCTCGGGACAACTCGGTGCAGACTCTGGTGTGTTATGTGACTGGAGACCCAGATCCAAGCAAGGCAGTGAAGTGGGATGGAATCGCGCAATCTGTCCAGACTGAGATATATCTCGACACATCGAGGGATGAATTCTCAGATTTTCCCAGACTTTTGACTGCCAGGTTGTAATATGCAACCGATGCTAATCTCGACAGTTTTCAAATGGCAGAATTCAGATGGATTCTGCCATTCGGGCAGCAAACATAGGAACATTCCTCGCATAGGTTCAGAAGGCGACGGTGCAATAGTGTTGGAAACAGAGAATCATTCGAGACAGTTCACATGGGCGGATTTTATAAACTAAATTTTATTGAAACTCGCAATTTTCCATATCTTCATCCAGATCCAGATCGTATTCAGGGAAATCTTCAATATCCCTACTGCGAACTACGTAATGACCATCCTCTGTGAGAACAAGACCCTTGTTCTCTTCCTGCCACCAAGTGGGTGGAATGTAATGGTTCGGAGTAAGAAGATTAGTACCCTTGTTTACCAGGGCAAGGTCTCGAGGAAGCGCCGGTGAGAAAGGCAAATTGGATCCGTGGAATCCATTCAAAAGATGTAAGTAGGCCTCTAAGTTGTGAGCGTTCCATGGATCCTTCGTTCTCCGGAGGAACGGTGAGTTGAGGTTGTTGAGCTTGAATTCTACTCCGATGTGGCTGTAAGTCCAGGGAAGAGTCTCCAACCAGTTCCAGAAGGGCTTGAGGTTTTTCTCGAGGAATTGCCACTTCTCGTTGATCAGCACACCGGGGAGCTTGGTCACTCGATCGTTTTCATTGACCACGCGCAGCACTCGAATTCCGAGCTGCTCCACGCGATCTCTGAAAGCGTCATTCCCCACTCGGGGCCCTCCGAAAGAATAGACCGTGATCGGGATATCGCCCATCTCCTCCTCCTCCGAATCAGAAGAAGAATACCCGCTGTCCTCGTCCGAAAGCTCGTGATCCTCACCCCACTGCTCCGGGATGACATGCTTCCGGCAGTGAACCTTGGTGCGGTGGTTGATTCTGGACTCTGCGATGTCGTAGGCCGACAGCTTCGCCAGGGCACTGCCCAGGCTGTGCCCTGTCACGGTGATGCTGAGATTCTCCTCCTGCCCGTACTTCTGCACCAACCTCTTGACAGCCTCGAGCACCTGCTGCCGAGCGCTCTTCTTCGTGTAGGGAGATTTTTCGTTCTTGGTCTTGTAGACAGCCAGGAATCCAGCCTCCACCTTGAGGTCGGTGATGTTCATTGGAGTTTCACCTGCATTCCGGCGATCGAGCTCGCTGGGAGCCAGATAGTCCCTCAGATTCTCGAGCCACTCGAGCTTGGTGACGGTGCCTCGCCAGACCACGACGATGTCGCGGCGTCCGAGTCGAGCGATCTCCTCGGGATCCGTCGCAACTGCCACGAAGCCCATCCAATTCGACTCGCGGGACCAGGCCTTCTCGTCGTCCTTGTGATCGGCGTCGAATCTCTGGAAGAAGCTGGCCATGGGGTTGTCGCCGCATGTGCCGTAGAGGTAATCCGTCACCTCGTAGCCGCGATTCTTGAGCCCAATCTTCTCGAGCAGATGCTTCTTGTTGTACTTGCAGCTGCCGCAGAATCGCGAGTGGCTGTCGGAATCGAAGGCGTCGTACGTGGCCTGCGCGAACTCCCCGTAGCGCATCATCTCGCCTCGCAGAACCGGGTCCATGGGGTCCAGGAGCCCGTCCCAGTTCTCGCTGCCTTGAATTTCCTCCCACCTCTCGCTCACCTGCAGGTGGGCGTAAGGATGCCTGGCCGGCGCGGCGGGCGTCGTCTGGGCCTCCTGATTTTCCCTAAACAAATCCATGGCCTTCTCCTGCTGCTCGATAACCTCTTGCTCTACTCCTATCACCGCCTCGTCTTGAATTGCCACTTCCAGCTTCATCCGGGCGATTTCCGCCTCGATTGCCCGAATTCGATCGGCCATGGTCAGGCCCGCCCCGACATCGGAGAAGATGGGCGTCGACATCGACTCCTCCTGCCTCACCGTGCTAACCTGAGTGTTGCCTCTAGATCTCACATTCCGGTCGGCTGCAGAAACCTGAACAGCAGTGGGCATTTTGTGGTGGCTTTTGCTTTGCTGCCGGCGCATGGCCTGAGGTTGCAACCTGACGCTTCCTCGCTTCTGCACTGAGGCTTCATTAAGACAGATTTCTCGCCCCACGAATCCTGGCAAGAAGGTGCTGCCCGTCAAGCAGTTCACAGCTCCTGCCATTGTTCGGATTTCAAATGTTCTATAAAACAAGCTTGTACTCTCGCCGCTCGATCGCCCCACTCCAAATCGAGACGGATTTAGATTCGACAGATAGAAAACACTAAGCAGAGCACACTGATGGAGGTGAATTGATAGACAGGTGATAGAAATTACTTCGATTTGTATAGACTAGAAATATGTATATTAATCCGACGGAGATAGAAACAGGTGATTTGTATATTTCTACTAGATATATTTTCTACACAGATATCGACCTCTAGACGAGGCGAGATCTACAACTGCTGTATGTCGGGAATGACCGCGAGAGGAGAGAACGAGAGGAGCAGACAGAAAGAAGGACGAGAAGTGGATCTCAACAAATAAACTTGTAGCAGTTCAACTACAAGCTTTTGCTCGTCGAAGATGAGAAACATGGAATGCAATTCGCGACTCTTGTAAAGGGCTGTGTGGCCGCGGAGGAGGGAGCAAGAGTGAGAGACGACTCGGTCTGTTCGATTGGGAGCCTCGCTCACTTCCTCGCTCGCTCACTCTTTCTCTCTTCACAGTTCTCGTCGAAGACTTGGTGAACAACTGCGGGCCTGCGTCGGGCTTTATATGTTCATCAGGGCCCCCCACCCTCTCCTCCTCTACCACCCCCGCCCCGAGCCACCACCGATATCGCCCGCAATATTTTAATGCCGTGTCGTTTGGGCTCCATCGGGGGAACCTATTTGGAACGCATGGTGGAAAGCTGATCGCAGACTTCTCTCTCCCATCGTCCTGACTCGGGAGATCTAACACTAGATGTAGAGACATGCTGCGTATGTCGTGCTTGCGCGACCGTAGTCGCCCAGCCGACTGTCACCGATACGATCCCCGGAGCTCTGGGCAGTAGAGCCTGAACAGCAGTTTGGCCTTTGAGATCAGAATAATATGCCCGTCCCTCCCTCACTGTTGCCGGTACCCTTTAATCTCGATACACAATACACACATATTCGACGTTTGGACCGAGCCATACTGTGCGTACCAGGACAAACTTTTGTTTTGTCACCTGGATCACGCGAACATTTATTGTCGTGTCGGAAATAGTGAAATCACTTAATTCTGAGGCTCGCAAACCGAAGTGGGAGGAATTAGACAATACGTCTGCCGCTCAGAGTCCCAATGAGCACGAGAATCGTTTTACAGTTATTTATTCGTTTTTTTTTTCTTAGAACGCGTTTCTGTAAGTTTCTTCTTTGGAGTGAGAGGGGAATCGCGCTGAGAGTGAGCAATCCGTCCAGAATCATAACATTCTCTCCATCGGTTATCATGCAGCCGAGCTTTGACTTGTGGAGGCTCACAAACGCAAGGTATGTCCGAAAAACTCACTCTGACTGCTCGAGGCCTTTTCTTTTGCACAAGTATGCAAGACATTTCAATGTGTTGCGTTCTGATAAACCTCAGCCATGGTTTGGAGGATAGACTCGACAACTACTTCGCTTCTGCACGCCCTGTGTGCATGGCATCGTCGGCAGACAGTCCTGCCTTCTTTACGTTAACAGTCCCAAAGGTGCTAAAGCTCAGAGTTTTCTTCGTGCCCCATCGTATTGAGTACTTTGTTCTTTCTAAACACTTTGACTGTCCTAAATTTTCAGCATCAATGGACATTAACGATCAGAAAGGTTAGACACATAGGAGCGAGCCCAAGAGATAAGATGTAGTTTCTTTAAGACCTCTAAGTTAGCTGGAACACTTAATCACGTACATATCAGATAGAGAGGAATCTGTTGATTTACATGCTCATAAATGTCGCCGGCTTTTTATTCTCCACTATAAAAAGCAAAATGACAGCCTTCCGGCAGTTGTCAGCTTAGTCAGTTTCAGTATCGTACAGGCAGTGGGTCGGCTTATGGAAGAAGTCATTTTATAGAACTGTGAGTTCTGCTCACCATTTGTGGAAAATAATACGCATGATATGCCCAATTTCAGATTCCTTGCAAGTGATCAAAAAATATATACAGCAAAAGCAACTGAGTATCATGGAGCTACGTCTGAATAGCAGCATAATGGGGAAATATGTCTAGCTGCATCTATGATAACTATGTAGGGTCAAAGTTCTATATATTAGAGTGCTATCATGATCTATATTAATGGGGACTGCTTTCCTATGAATCTCCCTGGCGAGCAATGCATATAAGTTGCATGAATTACATCATACAGTAACCGAAAGAGATAGATACCGATGTCGTGTAGTATAGTAGTGTCTAGCGCACTCTCTTGAACATTTCAAGTGCTATCTATGTCCATGTCACCGTAGATACTGCAAATCTATTGTCTCCCATTTTGGACTTCGTGAGTAAACTCCTATGCTCTCAGCAGAGGAGCAAAGGGACAATCTGGAATTTGAGAGGAAATTAAACTTCGAATTTGTGTCAAAATTCAGTGAGCGAGCGATTAATATGTATCCTTCACGGTTCAAAGCTCTAAGAGTTGAAAGAACACATAGAAAGTTTTATATTCCGAGTGTCACCTTATAGAAGACCATGAGCGGATAAAATAACTTTGAACATTCATATGTAAGAGAATAAAGGAATGTAGGTTCACGGTAAGCATGAGGTATGTGGTTGACACACATTTAGCATAGTGACGAGCCCGTTAATCACTTGGCACTATACGCCCGGCAGCATAACTCCTAAAATACATCTCGGAAATACACAGTGATGTACTTCAGTGAATCCACTGTGTATAGGGGCACAAATACGAATCTAAAAGTTTTCGAAGATATTGCATAAATACCAACCTTTTGGACATCCGTGTTCCTGACTGTACAAACAATCTTTTTGGTACGAAAAAGAAATTACATGTACTATATATATAAACTTACGCTTATTATATTAAAAAAGAGGAGTTCTACGTTTACTTCTGTTAACATGTTAGAAACTAAGGAATACTATATGACCAGAGAAATTTACTTTCATATAAATAAGAAAGCAAAATATGGTAGCTGTAAAATATGCTCGTATTTACAATTTGCTTATAAGAAGATATTTTGGTTGGCAACCGGTGGCCTGGATAACAGTATACATTTCATTTTATCGTAAGAAAATGGAATGTGAAAGGCATATAGGTGTAAGTGCTTATTCATAAGCTAAGCTTGCACGCTGGGTGGTGCAAATGGTGCCGTACCTCGTGCCGTGACCTTTGGAACCCGCACGAGAATATTCTGTCTTTTTATGTCCCCCAATGTGAGCATATACTCAGATGTCTGCTGTTATTCCGTCTGATTAAAGAGAGCCGACGTGATCTTTTCCTTTCAGGCATTCGTTCTTGAGACCGGAAGTTGGGACTCTTGAGTCCTGACGTCCGAGCCACAATTTGCAGATTACAAGTCTAACGGCCAAATCTCGAGCTGCTGGTATATAATTAAAAATGCTCTCCTTCATTCTTGACGCCACACTCAATGGTCGTCCTTGCAAGAAAAGAGTCAAGACCGACTGCAGCCCGTGGTCAGACCACAGACAAAACTTAAGCTGTCCTTGGTTAGGATTGCAGATCATGATTCCATACGTACCACTCATGAACTCTATGATGAGGGAGAATTGTGTGCTTGACTTCGTGACTCCGATTCCGCTGAATTGAAAGCGGAGCTCAGAGCTTTTCAGGTTAGGGAGTGAACGTAGGCTTTCTAAGTGCAAGGAGCGCATGCAAACAGCATCCTGCAACTGCAGAAGTTAGGCAACGACCTTCGCCTCATATAAACTGCAGACTTTGGCTGACGGCTGACAAATTTGAAGTTCTTATGAAAGGCAGCACATCTAGAGCTCAGTTCAGGATATAGGAAGCTCATATTTGTCCATGAAAGCGCATCCACTGGCAAGACTCATAGTCTCTGCCTGAATTTTTAGAAGCATTCTAAAGTGCGCATACATATAGACACATTCATTGGATCACAATGTTTCTCTCCGAATGATAGGTTTCAACCAATGTAGGGAATCATATTACACAAAATTGCTACCCTTATATATACTGGATTCAATACCATCTCCACTCCGCCATGCTACTAAATAATTATTAAAACCAGCATAACCTAGCATGATACATTAAATATGTATACATACATGCAAACTTCATGTAATTTGACATTTCGCGTAAAAGATTGAGAACATGAATTCATTCTTTCATAATGAGCTCACTAAGTAGCTTCATATCCTGTTTGAGTATTATAGAGTGAAATTAGACTGTGATGAGACTCATGAGAGAATCAAAAAAAAATTCAAGTTTCAAGTTTGATTAGAATAAATGAAAAGGTTTTCTTTGCACAAAGTAATGAACCGCCAAGAAATTTTCTTTCCGCAGATGATTCGTGCTCGAGTATTAATTGTGTTTGGTCACAAGCCTAAATAATCGAGAAGAAACCAATTCCAATTTAATCACGTATATAGATGGTTATGTATCTACAATTGAAAGTACAGCAGTCTCCCGGTTAAGTACGCACTTTGAACCGGGGAGTGCTGTGCGTACTTAACGGGAGGTGCGTACTTAAGAATATTGACTTACTAATCGATTGATTTGAGTGTAATGTCAAAGGAACCTTATATGAACATTCCTAAATGACTCGGCCCTATTTGATATCATAGAGAAATTGAGCAAAATCATGATTCCATTGGAAGAGCTCGAACTTGCAAGTGATTTGATCATGAAGATGAGACAAACGGAACAAATCACAAAGCTAAGTTGAGTTAATGTATGATGAAGTTAAAGAGAAGATTTTGTAATCTCACTCTTCTAACGTCTATTGACACCGCCAAATAAAAAAATGTTGCATTGAGTTTATTGATTTCATATATGGATTCCAGCACATATTTGTAATTGCCAAGTCGTATTCAATTGCCAAGTGAATTGCAAAAGGTGTTGTTTCTAGGAGAGTAATTTGAAAATTTATCATGGACTCTAGCAACGTTAACTGTTATAGCCCAATATAATCTAAAACCTCAAAAAGATGATATAATTTTTTCTTCATTTTGCGATAGTGACTTGCTTTTTTCACTAATATGAGAGTTTGTCTCTAATGTTAAACGAGTATATATCAGCCACTAGAGGTTCACGCTTCTAATCAGATATGAGACACCACTAGGAGGAGTAATAATTTTTTACCATAAACCAAATGAACGACATGTCATGGGTTGAACCCTACTTTTGTGCAAAAAAATGCGTACTTAACCGGGATGCCTAACAAGAGAATGTTCCCAATCATTTGGATCTTTGCTAGAAGCTACAATAATTTTATTGATATCCCTACATTGGCAATTCTCTATCCTAGACTGAAATTCTTCCACTATAATGGAAATGATTGACTAGATTCAAGATTTTGCTTAGCTTGCTGTTACCTTGGAACTTGAGTTCAAGTTTGACTTGATAAGTATAGATTCCATAATCTTTTTTCCAAACGCTTATTCCCTATTTACACAATCCAGAACCCAACGATTCACAACCCTATCATTATTATCTTCCGTCAAATATTTAAGAAATTCATGTATTTTAAAATTTCTATAGCATGCTCTAGCTAGCTAGTTTTGATTTATATGGAGACTGTTGAAATCGTTACATTATATGAAA